GTCCAAACAGTCATGTCATTTTTCTGAGTGAATGATTTCAAAATAAAAAACGATCACTCAGATGGTCTGGAAGCCTGCCTGTCTCGTGCAGGTGCTTGGGTTGGTATCATTTAATACGGCTGTGGGTCTGAGAACTGAAATGTGCCCGTATGTAGTTTGTGAGTCACAGTTGTGTTGTCTAGTTAATGTCCACCCAGCCCCAGAGACAGGCGACTGCAGACCGCAAGCCTCTCCTCACTGTCTCCTCCTGTGCCCGAGATGGGAGGATGAGGCTGGGCATGGCTCTTCTGACTCCAGGCTGTCAAGTGGGTTTAGGGTTTGTTTTGTTATTTATGAAGCACCGTTCTTGGTGATGATTTTTAGTTCTTTCTTAAGGGCTTGGTTGATTAATTATCATTTGTTTCATTAGAAAGGAGATCTTAACAGTTTTGTCATTTTGAAGATTGCAGTCCTGGAGAGGAAGGAGAGGATTCTGGGAGGATGGGCTAGGAAGGAACAGGGACTGTTTCCGTGCCTGGTGGAAGCTGTCTGAGGTAGCAGCAGGTGTGGAGTTCTGTGACGTCTCAGGAAGGCTTGGATGCCAACTGTTTGCCCACAAAGGCCCGTGTGAGCTTGGCACACCCCAGCTGGTGCCCTCAGAGGGTGGCCGTGCACCTGTTCCAGGAACTTCCTGCAGCCTTTGGGGTCTTGGGCCTGGTTGTTGTTCTGGTCACATGGATGGAATGCGAGCAAGCGGCTGGTCACACCTCCCCGCCCTCCAGCCCGAGTGACTTCTCGGGCACCTAAAGAGCCAGCACCTCTTTTCCCCTTCATTTTACTCCTTTTCCCCCTTTGGGAACCAGACATTAAAGAATAGGACATTGAAAAACAGCTGCATGTAAGGGGGAAGTTAGAAGGTGACTCTACCTGGCCAGGAAAAGGTGTCAACTCAGAAAAGACCCATGAAAACCTTATGTTTATACCCCAGGCTGCTGCTCGGCACAGCCAGCCTACGGTAACCCAGAAGCAAAAACAGCAAGTACTAAGGAGACCTGGCACGCTCTGGGGAAGGAAGGAATTGCTTCACGGAAGGGCCTCCTTGTTGGACTGGTATGTCCAGTATTCAGCCACAGAGCCAACCCAGGCACACGGAATGGGGCCATGGCCCATCCAGACGGGAAGCTGCTGACTCCCCAGTAAAGGCCAGGTAGTGGACCTGCTGGACAGGGATTAAAACAGCAGTCTAAGGTGCTCAGAAGACTGAAGGAAGAATGGGAAGTACAGTAACTGCAATTTAAAATTCACAAGAGGGCTTCAAAGGTGGAATTGACCAGGCAAAAGACAGAATCCATGAGCTTACAAAATAGGACAACTGAAATGATCAGGTCTGAGGAAGATGGAGAAATACATTTGACGAGAAGTGGACCCAGCGTGGGGACCTGTGGGGCTCGTCAGTCATGTGGGGACACAGTTTTGTGGGAGTTACAGGAGACAGAGCAGTTGGGGAAATAATGACGGAAAACTTCCCAAATATGACGAGGGCACAATTAGAGGCGTCCAAGTAAAGTGAACTCAAACCCACACCAAGCGTATTCTAATGACGCTTTCAGGAGCCAGAGGCAGAGAAAGGCTTGAAAGCAAGGAGAGAAATGACTTTCATGTACAGGGGACTTCAGGAAAGTGATAAGCAGGTTTCTCAGCAGAAATACGAGGCTGGGAAGTCTGGCTAATGGATTCAGGGTGCTAAAAGGCAGCACTTGTCTTACTTCATGTCCCCTCCCCTTCCTTCCCTCCATCCCTTGGCCCCTTTCTGATTTCCTAACTCATTCTGTGAGGCCAGAATTACTTTGATAAAGCCAGACAAAAGCACCACAAGAAAACTCTAATGAATATGTACCTTACAAGCACTGATGCAAAAACCCTGAACAAGATCCTAGTGACTGAATTCAGCAGCAGATTGACAGGCTTATCCACCCGACCAAAGTGGGATTTATTCCTGGGATGCAGGTTGGTTCAACATGCAAAAGTCACTGCGGTCAACTGTGTTATCAGAACGAAGGGGGAGAGGGCCAGAGATTTAGCTCAGTGGCTCTGCTGCCTGCCTCGCAAGTGCAAGGTCCCAAGTTCAATCCCCGATACCAAAAAGCAAACATACAAAAAAACGAAGCGGGAGAATCACACAGCCAACTCGGTTAGCACAGGAAAAGCCTTTGGTGAGTTCACTGCCTGTATGATACACGAAACCTATGCCTCAACATAACTAGAGCCGGTGGGAAAAGCTCACAGTGAGCACCATAGTCAGTGGGGAGCTGGAAGGTCTCCCGAGCTCAGGGACAGGTAAGGAGGCCTGCCCTTCTCCCTCTGTTCAGCCCAGGCTGGAAGTTCTAGCCCGAGAAACTAGACAAGAAAAGGAAATAAAAGCTGCCACCATTGGAAAGAAGAAGTAAAGCAACTCTCTCTCTCTCTCTGTCTCTCTGTCTCTCTGCAGATGACATGATCTTATGTAGAGAAAGCCTTAAATAGTCCACCCTAAATTTTTGTTCCAGCTGATAACTTCGCATGGTAGCAGCACACAAAGACAACTCAAAATTAAGTATTTATAATTAAGTATTTCTAAGCACTAAATATGAACAACCTGAAGCTAAGGAAACAACTTAAAGTTGCATCAAAAAGAATAGTACACTGCAGAATGAACTAAGAAGATGAAAGGCTCATGCGTGAGTGAGTGGACACACCTGTGTTCTTGGAGTAGCGGACATGGTAGTGTTAAGATGCCCATACTAGGGCTGGGGATTTAGCTCAGTGGTTCTGGCGCCTGCTGCGCAAGCGCAAGTTCCCGAGTTCAATCCCTGGTACCAGAAAAAAAAAAAGCCCATATTATGCATGATCGACTCATTCAATAGAGATCCTTGAAAACCTCAACAGTTGTTTGCAGCAATAGAAGAACCCACCCTAAAATTTGTATGCAGTCTCAACGGACAATGGGTCCCAATTATCCAGGACAACCTTGAAAAAGAATAAAGCCAGAGATGTCACATATACTGAATTTAAAACTCACTGCACGCAGTGTGAGACTGGCATAAAGATAGTCCATGCGTGGGCCGGGGATTTAGCCCAGTGGTTCCTTCCATCGCCTGCCTCACAAGTGCAAGGACCCAAGTTTGATCCCAGGTACCAAAAAAAAGATAGTCCATGCAGACCAAGCGAGTGAAGAGCAGGCCCAGAAACAAGCCCTCAGATGTGGCCGAGTGATGCCTGGTGGGAGTGGGAGTGCTTTTCAACGGGCAGACGACAGTCTTTCCAACAGGAGTGCTGGGAAACCGGATATCTGCATGAGAAGTAATGAATGTCTGTCTAACGCTATAATAAAAACTGAAGTGAATCAATGACTTAAGCATATGAAAGTTTAGGACAAAAGTGTATATGTTGGATTTGGCAATGATTTCTTAGATACAATGTCACAGGCACAAGCAAAAAGAAAAAATAAATTGAACTTCATGAAAATTTTAAAAATGTGTTCTTCAAAAGTCACTATCAAGGGCTGGGGATTTAGCTCAGTGGTTCCGCCACCTGCCTCGCAAGCGCAAGGTCCCGAGTTTGATACCCGATACCAAAACAAAACAAAACAAAACAACAACAACAAGCAGTTATGGGTCCAAGTTGCAGAGAGAACATTTTGGGCTGGGGATTTAGCTCAGTGGTTCCACTGTCTGCCTTGCAAGCATAAGGACCCGAGTTCGATCCCCTGTACCAAAAAAAAAAGAAATTGATGATTCTAGGGGCTGGGGATTTAGCTCAGTGGTTCCAGTGCCTGCCTCGCAAGCGCAAGGTCCCGAGTTCGATCACCGGTACCAAAAAAAAGAAAAAAAAAGAAATTGATGATTCTCAAAAATTAAAAATAAAGCTGAGTGTGGTGGTGCACACCTGTAATCCCAGCTACTTGAGAGGCTGAGGCAGGAGGGTCAGAGTTTCAGGCCAGCCTGGGCAATATGGTGAAACCCTGTCTCAAAAAGAAAATTAAAAGAGCCGGGGTATGGCTCTGGGAGAGGGCCCTCCTTCGCTCCCCAGTGCCGCAGATAAAGAGGACTAGTTGGCAGATCCATCTGTGAACACAGACCGGAGAGAAGCGGCCCAGGACTGTGAAGAGACATCGTGGACTTGAGTGAATGCTTTCAGTTCGGCAGCGACCCGTGGTCACACACCTCTGACGATCGGCACTGTGCCCTCCTGGTGAGGGAGACCTGAGCTGTGTGACAGCATCCGTCCCAAGCCCGAGGACACTGTGTCCCGAGAACTGAGCCAGTCAGAGAAAAGAGCCCTCCCAAAAAGGCCGGTGATTTAGCTCAGTGGCACCGAGCCTGCCTCACAAGCCCGAGGTTGTGAGTTTAAGCCCCGGAACCAAAAGAAAAAAGAGGGCTCCCGCGTGAGCATGAGGCCATGGAGGGTGAGGGAGGTGGCCGGGGCCAGGGAAGAGAGAACAGGGGCCGTTGTTTAATGGGTTGGAAGTCCCCATTTCCAAGATGAAAAGTTTTGGAGATGGATGGTGGTAGTGGTCGCACAGCATTGTGAGTACTGAAATGTATACTAAAAAGTGACCGGTGTGGTAAGCTGGGGCGTGTAGTGCTTGCCCATAAACCCAGCACTCAGGAGGCTGAAGCAGGAGGATCTCAAGTTCAAGCCCAGCTGGGGAACTTGGTGGCTCAGTAAAACCCTGTCTCAGAAAATAAAGGGCTGGGGTTGTAGCAGAGTATGAAGGTCCTGGGTTCAATCATCAGTACCATTTTAAAAAAAGTTAATGTGGTGATTGTATGTTCTATTGTAATGGAATTTTAGAAGAAGGTCAGGAACCCTGGCGAGGAGAGGTCTCCCCAGAGCTGCTGATCCTCCCAGCTGGCATGTTTCCAGCTAGGAGTCCACGGGCCGGGCCAGTGACGCTTTCCTCCTGGTGTTGTCGTCCTTGTTTCCATCGGGACAGTGTGGCGGCCTCCCGATGAACCCGCTTTGACTGTTTGGTCCTTCAGGGGAAGACGGAACCCATCACCGTGGTGAAGCTGCTGAGCTGCTTCGATGACCTGGTGGCAGCCGGCACCGCCTCTGGGAGGGTCGCAGTGTTCCAACTCGTGTCCGCACTGCCAGGGAGGAACAAGCAGGTAGGCACTTACTGGACTCAGCAGATTCCATGTGGATTTGTTGTGGTTGTGTTTTTTGAGACAAGGTCTTTCTGTGTAGCCCAAGCTGGCCTCAAACTCACAAAGATCCTCCTGCTTCAGCCTCCCGAGTTCAGGGATAACTGGTGCTCGCCACCATGCCCAGCTCTCATGGGTTTTAAATTGAAACCCTCACATGCCTAGCAAATGTATGCTTGGAAAAGTATAATTCTGTGCTGTTTCTAATCAGGCAGCACTTTTGTTCCTGTGTGGACCCTCGGCATAAAGCACGCGGGGCCTGGGGACACCCTGGGTGTCCTCTCTGTGGGTCCCAGGCGGGCAGATGGAGTGGTCGCCCCACAGCCCGAGCCCCAGCGCTCACACTTGCCTCGCCTTTGTTTCATCGCCTGCTGGTAGCTTCGGAGATTTGACGTCACCGGGGTGCACAGAAACAGCATCACGGCACTGGCCTGGAGCCCCAATGGGATGAAACTGTTCTCGGGAGATGACCGAGGGAAGATCGTGTATTCCTTTCTGGATCTGGACCAGGTAACGCGCTCACGGGGTTGCTGTGGGCCCCTCCCACGTACAGTGGAATGATTATATTCAGGATTGTAGTTGAGCTTTATAGTTGGTTTGTGTTCTTGATCATAGCTCCTTTTTCTTCGCATCTATTATTTGCAACATTTTCTTTCCTGATCTTTTCCAAATCTTTGTAAGTTCCTATTTCTTTGACTCAAGAGTTGGCCTGCTACAGCATTCACTTTATTTTTAAACTTTCCCTGATATATAAAAATTGTACATCCTTAAGGGTTACCATGTGATGTCCTGATACATGTGTACATTGTGAATATTCAAATCAGCACAGACGTATCTAGCTTTTTTTTTTTTTTTAAGTACTGGGAATTGAGCCCAGGGCTTTTGCACTGAGCTGCAGAGTTGCCCAGGCTGGGCTTGAACTTGTGATCCTTCTGCCTCAGCCTCCCAGAGTGCTGGGATTACGCTCGAGTGCCACCACACCTGGCTGAATCTAGCACTTAACCCTTATGTGAAACACTCGCTTTTCACTTTGCTATTCTTACTGCCACTGCTTAGAAAAGAGAAGACGCTATTGTCCTTCCCGATTGTTTGAGAGATGAGCAGAAGCGAAGCGGACCATCTTTCAGTCCTCCCCCTGGACAGAGGATGGTGTCCCAGGGGATAGAGAACTCATGGTCACAACTGACCCATAGCGGCGGGAGGGAACGCAGAGCAGGGCAGCGCAGGGGCGGCCAAGGGTCAGGGCCTTCACAGGGCAGGGCAGGAGGAGCAGCAGCGCCGCCTGGCGGCCACTATTTCCCACAACCCTCACCCCGGGTCTCCAAGCCGAAGCCGGCTGGGCACTGCGCACATCCCGCTCTGCCCCAGCCCCTGGCTTTGCGATGCCTGCATTTCATCGTTCCGTGCCGCTCAGTGACTGACCAGCTAGCACCCAGCGCGCCCTTGCCCTCTGGCTTAGCACGGTTGCATTGAGCTCTCTAGCCCAGTCCCTAACTCCTGATCTGGCCTCCCAGTGCACTTAGAAAGGTGGTGCCTGAGAGCTTTGGTTGTGTGGGTTGCATCAAGTCTACCATGCTGGAAATTCAAACGCAGGAATTGTAAAATATTAATTGTAATTTGCGATAATCAATCCATTATATATTAGCATAGATACCTTTTTAACAATGAAAATACCTGTTTAAAAAACGAATGAGGGGGCCGGGAATTTAGCTCAGTGGTTTCGCCACCTGCTGCACAAGCGCAAGGACCCGAGTTCAATCCCCAGTACCAAAAAAAACCAAAAAATTGGGCTGGGGATTTAGCTCAGTGGTTCCACTGCCTGCCTTGCAAGCACAAGGTCCCAAGTTCGATCCCCAGTACCAAAAAAAGAAAAACGAATGAGAAGAGTGGCATCGCTTTATATTTTTACAGATCTCTCTGATGCCTGGTAGCTAGGCATGGTGACGCACACCTGCAATCCTAGCATTCTGGGAGGCTGAAGCAGGAGGATCCAAGTTCAGGCCCAGCCTGGGCAAATTAATGAGACCCTGTCTTAAAAATTTAAAAAAGGGCTGGGGATGTAGCTCAGGGTGAAGGCTCTGGGTTCAATCTCCAGTGCCAAAAAAAAAAAAAAAGAAAGAAAAAAGGAAGGAAGGAAAAAACATTTGGCTTACCAGAAGACAGGGTGCTGCATGTGTCATGGTTAAAATCTGGCCTCACAAAGACACGTTGGGGAACATAGGAGGAGAATTGTGACAAAAGGTGGTTTCCTTGAAGGTGACAGCTAAAAATGACACATGGTGGCTGCCATATACTGTGGAGCCTGACGCCACAGGGGCAAGCTCCCCTCCCAGCCTGCCTTGAACTTGGGACCTTTTCCCTGGGTGTGATTTCTGTCCTTATAACGTGGGATGACGTGCACCTTCCTGGTGTTGACACACTGGGTTTTTTGTTGTTTTTTGTGTTTGGCTTTTTGAGACAGGGTCTCGGTATGTATTCCAGGCTGCCCTTGAACTCACTGTGTAGCCCAGGCTGGCTCAAACTCACAGCGATCTTCCTGCCTCAGTCTCCCACAAGCGTGGTGTGCTACCATGCCCAGGGATCCTGTATTTTACACATTACCATCCACTTTGTCCAGTTCACAAGACAGAAAGATGTTTCAAGACTTTATCCTCACTTGGAAATAACAAGTACTATTTGTTTTCCTCAAAAGATAGGCTCGCCTTTTCTTAAATGTCTGCCAGATACCCAAGTTTGAATAATTACAGTATTTCAAGTCAAAATGGTGCTTTGTGAAGAAGGCAGCTGGCTCGCCTCCCAGCTGCAGGGAGGCTCGGGGCTTTTCCTCAAGAAAACTAGTATGGCTCAGCACGCTGCAGGGCTGCATGTATGCGTCCCGGTGTATCACATCACAGCAGAATCTCTGTCCTGAGGGTGGAGACTCAGTGAGGTCACGTTTCTTTGCATCAGAGGATTCTTCATTGAAGCCCAGTTTTACCATGCAGGGGGGTGGTGTGAAGGGCATGGTGCCGCTCTAGCCCCTGCCCCATTGGCACAAAGGGCAGACAGCATCTTAGGGTGATTATGAAAATAATTCTAGCCTGGTGTTGCCTAGAGAGGGCCTCGGACCTGCAGGCAGGTGGGGCATCAGGATCCCTCCCCACCGTGCCTGCCCGCCGCTCCCGAGAGGAAGCAGCTGGCTGTGAGCACTGGGAAGTACCAGAACCTGGGCACCAAAGGAGGCTGCAGCAGATGAGCATGTTGCCCATTGCTGTAAAATGCAGTCTCAGCTCATCGCGAGCTGTGTTAAAAATGGAAAAGCTGCTTTCTGAAGAGCTTCATGGGGAAGGACAGCTTCCTTCAACCTCCTCTGGGGGCTCAGCTTTCTCGTCACGAGTGCAGTGGTGGTTATGTAACTACACGTTTGTCAGAAACCGTAGAGTCGTATACCTGAAAATGAGGAACTTTACTGTCTGTAAATTTTGCCAATAAATCTGTCCACAGTCTCCCCTAGCCCCCAAATATTGCAGCCCTCTTCTTGTACTGAGGATTGGAGCCGGGGCCTTCTCTCTGTGTACATCTCCAGTACTTTTTTATTTTTTATTTTTTATTTTGGGATAGAATCTCACTAAGTTGCTAGGTCACCCAAGCTGGGCTCAAACTTGCAGTCCTCCTGCCTCAGCCTCCCAAAGTTCTGGGATTACACGCTTCCACCACCATGCCTGGATTGCAGGAATATTTCTTAGTCAAAAAAACTACTTCAGGGGAAGAGTGATTTACAGAAGCCAGTGTTTGATGCCATGAAAACTAGTTTGTGTCAGTAGTAAAATGCCTGCTAGAATTCACCTTATGCATGGTGGTTGTTTTGTGCTTATACCGCCTTATGTATTTAGTGCCGGGTTGACTTCTCCCTAGCTTCCCCTGTCCTGTGCCCCTTTCATCTAGCAGGATGACCATGAGCTCGGATGGCCTTGCATGCATTGTGTTGGGGACAGTAGCAGGAGAGCTGATCACTGTCACAGTAATTGGTAGAAAGTCCCCTTTCACTGGGTTTTATAGTAGAATAAGCAGCATGCATGGCGTGACATGTTTCGGTTTAGATCTTATGGGTTCTTTGAACTATTTACTGAGACCATTTTAAGGGAAGTGACTCACACCATTAACTGACCCTTGTGAAACCTGAAGTAGCGTGGTGGGGGCTCCCAAATATCCTGCCATGGGCTCACCTGAGCCTGGCGAAGGAAAGCAGGCAGCTCACAGGCAGCTTCCGGTCTCTGCAGGGGCTCTGCAACTCGCTCCTGGTGCTGGAGGAGCCGGCGTCCATCGTGCAGCTGGATTACAGCCAGAAGGTGCTGCTTGTGTCCACCCTGCAGAGGAGTCTTCTCTTCTACACCGAGGAGAGGTCTGTCCGGCAGATCGGGACACAAGCAAGGAAGAGGTGAGTTGTGCGCGTACTCAGCTCGCTCCGGCCCGGGCTGTGGGACCGAGCAGCTGGAAGGCCCCCTTGACCTCCCGTGTGCCAGCTGCAGGCCACGGCTGCTCCCGTGGTGAGGAGCCGTTGGGACCCACAGGTGCAGTGGTCCTCTCTGGGGCCTGTACCTGTGTCACTCCCAGGCAGACCCCTCCACAGTGCCCGGAATACCGCTGTCGCCCTCTACCACCAGCCTGCTGGGGACGGTGGGGAAGGGAGACAGAAGGAGCAGGAGTGGGAAGGGTGGGGAGCCATGACTGGCACAGGTGAGGCCGAGGCTGGTGGGGGCCGAGGGCTCCCGTCCCTGTCCTCCCTGCTAGGCCTCATGGATGGGGCAGGCAGCACTGGGCCAAAGCACGGGGAGCAGGGAGAGGGCCAGTGTGGCGAAGCCTTGGGCTGGTGGTGCCAGGGGAGGGAAGGGGGTGAGCTCACCAGGGTGTCCCTGCTGTCCCCATGTGATGTGCTGGACAGCATCACAGTGCTTTATTCTTCCTTCTGCATGAGTCCTCAGCCCTTAGAGAGGTCACCTCCCCCTGCTTCTGTGGCCTACAATGCCTCACTGAGTTGTCAGCAGTCTGTGACCGCAGTCTCCCTGTCGGTCAGGATGCCGAGTGGAGCAGGTCGACTCCCCAGGCCTTACTGCCTGGCCCGCCTGGCAGTGCCTTGCCTCGCTGTGTCTGCTGGGTGGCAGCATGGGCGAGAGCAGAGCCGGTTACTTTTACCCAGGGCCACACCCAGCGTCGCTCCTCAGACCCCGCCTCCGGGCCTCTGGCGCGGTGTCCTGGGAAATTCGGGGAACCTCTCCTGGGCATGGCGTGGTCAGGCCTTCCTCAGCCTAAGTGTCCAGTGTGCCAGGCACCCTTACAGTTATGTAAGGCAAGCAGACCTCGACAGAAGTGACTAGAATGTAAGAGGGCTTATAAAAAGGAAGAAATCTAAAAATTGGGTCACCAAGCCAGGCATTGTGGCATCCACTTACAATCCCAGCACTCTGGGAGGCTGAGGCAGGAAGAGCACAGGTCCCAGCCCAGCCTAGACAACTTGGCAAGACCCTATCTTAGACTGAAAAATGGCTGGGAATGTATCTCAGTGCGAAGACCCTGGGCTCGGTTCCTAGTACTGGAAAAACATCACCAGGCAGAAATTGGCATGCCTGGAAGGCAGGAGGGAAAGGTGCTGAGCTGCCTCAGAATCCCTGTGGCCCTGTGTGGAGTCCTCTCCTGTCCCCTCCTGAGCGAGCCCCTGAAGGCAGCCATCAGTCCCTGAAGCTGCAGGGTCACCTCCTCTGGGGCCGGACGGGCTGGGACTCACCTGTAAACAGTCCCAGCACTCGGGCTGGGGCAGGAGGACTGCAAATTGGAGCCCAGCCTGGCGACCTGGCAAGAACCCCTCCAAAATAAACTCTAAAAAGGGCTAGGGGTGGAGCTCGGTGGTAGACCACTCCTGAGTCTCGTCGCTCCGCTCGTACTGCAAAACAACCAGGACAGAATAACGCCTTGTAGGGTGGCCTGGTGATCTTTGCTCCCGAGCTGAACTTGATAGGCGATGTCCTCCTTGGACTTATCTAGAGGGATTTAGTCACTGAGGCACTGCCGCCTAGGAAGATAGCGACAGGCAGAGAGGTCCCCACCTATGCCTGCCCAACTCCTGGTGGGCCTGTGGGGCTGCTGGGTGCCATAGGAGCGGGCCTCTCAGCCTCTGAGCCTCTGAGCCTCTGACGGTCCGGTCTGGGGCCGGGCGGCTCCTGCGGAGTGATGGGTGGGCGCCAGTGCCACTTGCTGTGCTGTCCCTGCATTTCCCTCCCATCCTCACTTCCGCCCTGAGCTGGGGTCCCCGGCACATTCACAGACCGGGAGGTGAACCTGATGGGTAGCTCTTCAGTGGCGGGTCTCACTCTAACAGTGCTCTTCCTGCCTTCGAGGGTCTGACACACGGTTAGAGAAGGAGTCAGCGAGGGCCAGGGTCCACTGAACCTCTTCCTTTGGAACTCTGGCGGACGCTGGAGCGTTGACACAGATGTGGGACCCGACCTGAGACCCAGATTTCCTGGGGTGTGGGGTTGGAAGAAAGCCTGGAATTGTTGAATATGCTCTTGGTTGAAAACCAGCAGTTCCACTCTGGAAATATCCTTGGCTGCCCCTAACGCCCATGTGCTAGGACATATGTGCCAGGGCACTCATGGCACATTGTTCAAAATAGTGAAAAAACAGCCACGACTAACAGGGAGGGGTGGGGACATGCTCAGTCCCCACCTGAGCCCTGCAACCACAGAGGGAGGCTGCATCTCAGATGCCTTTGATGAGGGTAAATATGCTGTGGAATATGATCCAGCAGTGCCAATGAGCAAGTGCTCCAGCTTCTTTTTATCAAGGATAAATCTTAAAAACAGTGTTAAATGGAGAAAGCAACTTGCAGAAGTATACAAATGGTGTCACTCTCTCTTTTAGAAAGTGAAAGATGGTACTAAATTGCACAGTGTCTAGGGATGTGTAGAAATGTGACTAAGCGAGTAGCAAGAGCAAGAAGCAGCACACAGCAGTTCAGCCTGGGCGCAGTGGCCAGGTGGGTGGGAAGTGTGGCGGAGGACTCACTTCCTACGCGGGGGATGGGTGCATGCCCAGGCATCCCGCTAGGCTTTGTAACTTCTGTTACATATATTCTTTTGCACATGTCAGATATTTCATAATTTTTTTTTTGGTACTGGGGATCGAACTCAGATCCTTGCGGTTGCACAGCAAGCAGTGAAACCACTGAGCTAAATCCCCAGCCCAGATATTTCATAATTTTAAATTGAAAAAGAGACCAAGCCCGGGGACCAGAGAGGAAGCTCTGGCAGCTTTGGGGAAGCGCTGAGAGGCAGCAGTGCAGACATTGCCATGATTCAGCACACTGGGGTGGCCATGGCAGTCAGCCTGGAGGGCAGAGCAGAGAGCAGAGAGCGGAGAGCGGGCTGGGCTGGGATGCTGCCTCGGGAGTGTGCTGATGGGCCCGGAGGAGGGAGGCACGGGGCCGCAGCAGGCCTCCTCCACTCGGGTTGCGCACTGCCCGGCAGGGCTTCCGTGGGCACGGGATGGCGGTGTGGCCAGTTGACCAGAAATTAAGCAGCAGGAAAGAGGGGGCAGTTATCCAGATTCTTGTTGTTACTAGCAGGGGTTGGCAGCTACGTTACTATAAATCAGTCCATGCCTGGTTTTTTCTTTCTTTTTTCTCCTGATTTTAGTACTGGGAAATTTGGTGCTTGTTTTATACCAGGACTGTGCAAGCAGAGCGACCTTACCCTGTATGCGTCCCGGCCTGGGCTGCGGCTGTGGAAGGCTGATGCGCACGGCACTGTGCAAGCCACCTTCATCCTGAAGGACGTCTTTGCGGGCGGGGTCACGCCCTTCGAGCTGTACCCTCGTGTGGAGCCCGAGGACAGGGGGGGCTGCGGCTCGCCCGAGAAGCACCTTGGGCTGGTGTCCTGCTTCTTCCGGGAGGGCTGGGTGCTGAGCTGGAACGAGTACAGCATCTACCTTCTGGACACTGTGAGCCAGGTGTGTGGTGGCGTAGGTGTTGGGGGTCTGCCCAGGGAGCATGTCCCGCCTCTGGTCCCTGGGGAACAGACCTGACCCCAGTGCCAACCCTGACCTTTGTGCTGGTCCAGGGAATGGAACGAAGATTTGTTTGGTCATTTTTGTGGATTTGAAAAAATAATTTGCTTTTGAAATTCACTCTCACGTTTATCCTGCCAAGAAATGATGTGTAGGGCTGGGGCTGTAGCTCAGTGGTTCCACCGCCTGGCTCGCAAGCGCAAGGTTCAGAGTTCAATCCCCGGTACCAAAAAAAAAAAAAAAAAAAAGAAAGAATGATGTGTAGGTTTTGTGTGAAGTACCAAGTTAAACTCATTCCTTATAGGCTGTCTGGGCCGTGTTCCTTCTTTTTTCTTTGTTTTCCCAGTGCTTGGAACGGAACCCAGGGCCTTGTGGTACTGCCTAAGCACACGTTCCACTACTGAGTGACAGCCCTGGGCCGGGCCTTCCCTGATCCCAAACCACAGTGTAGCATGCAGTGCAAACTCAAGCGGGACTGTCCCCAGGCAGGGCAGGGTCTCCCTCCACCTCTCCTCTCTTTTACCCTTGTTCTTACCCTCATGAAGTCCTGTTATTCTGCCAGGGTTTTTCTTTTCAACTTAATGACCTATGAGGTCACTTTCTAGCATTATTAAATCATGGAGGGAAACAATTTCTGTTTGGATCAAGATGGTAAAAGATCACAGAGACAGTTTAGGGCATTAAACACAGCAGTTCTTTCAGTTTCTTCTTTTCCTAAGAGCAAAGCTTTTGCCTGCCTCACTCCCAGAAGTCACCCACACTCCAGGTTGGCAGATCCTGTGAGCTCCACTGTGACCCCGCAGGACGGCAGAGCCACGCTGGGGGAAGTGAAGGGCTTTCTCACCAGGTGCAGTCAGCAGAAATGAAGTCATCTGCTCCCCATCAGCACCCCTTAATGGTGGCCATCAACCCAGCCTGGTGATGCTGGTTTGGTAAAAAACTGACCCTCAAGCCTCTTGCCCTGCAGACCCTCGCCCGCCTGAGCTTGGCTTCCTGACCAGTGAAATGGGGTGGTGGTATTGGGGAAGGGGGTCACCTCCTAGCTCTTCGTTCATGTCTTCGATGAGGGATGTTTCGGAAGGCAGTTTTGTTCTCTTTGCCAATTATGGGTAACTTCTCTTCCTTCCCCGGGCTCCTTTGGCGCTAGCTCATTAATTAGTGGCATCAGGATAGTCGGTAATCTCATACCAGCCCTTGTCACCTGAGCACTTAGCCTGAGCTTTGCCCGTAGGCATAATTAACTTCATTCCCAGGCAGGGCTGAGATAGGATGGCCCGGAGCAGGTCTGCGCCTCCCCCCTCTCAGAAGCCAAGGTCCTGCTTCCAGCCATCTGCTGGGCTGCCTGAAAATTAGCAGGGGGGATAGGCCCCTTATCTTACACAGCCAACCAGTCTATTACTTGGACTGTTGGCTGAAAAGCAACAACTGTCCAGAGTCACGACCTGAGGAGGTGGTGTCTGAGTCAAACTGGAAGTCTCCCAGGACTGGAGTGGAATCTGAGCAGAGAGAAAAGCATGTGCCGGACACATGGGACATGGAGGAATGGCCTGGGCTTGGACTGGCACCATCAGTGCATGTGAAGCCCTGCCAGGCAGGAGGCAGACAGGTGACAGACAGGCAGCCACCAATGGCAGAGGGCCCTTGCTAAGAGGATGAGATCCAGGTCACAGGAGTGGGCAGCTGAGCGGCTGAGGCATGGAGAGAAGCTCTGCCCGCCTGGTCCCGGCCCCTGACTGCTAAGGTGTACGTCTGTCGGGTAGCACCTGACTTGGGGTTGAGTTACTCTTTAAGAGTTTTCAGCTGGGCATGGTGGCACAGGCCTTAATCTCAGCACTCTGGGAGGCTGAAGCAGAAAGATGGCAAGTTTGAGCCCAGCCTGGGGAGCTTAGCAAGACCTTGTCTCAGAAAAGGGCTGAGTATATGGCTCAGAGCAAAGACTGAGTTCAATCCACTGTACCGAAAAAAAGGGCCCAATCTTCAGAGCTGGGCGCAGTGACACGCACCTCTAATCCCAGCTACCCGGGAGGCTGAAACAGTGGCCATCACAAGTCACAGTCCAGCCTGGGCAACCTAGGGAGACCTTGTCTCTGAATAAAAAGGGCTGGGGATGTAGCTCAGTGGTAGAGCACTCTTGGGTTCAATTCCCAGCACCTTAAAAAATTTTTTTCCCAGACAGTTGTCATAACAAAGTGGTAGCTGTCATTTGACTCGTTTGGGTTCTTACACGTGCTTTTTTATGCTTTAAACTGTTACTGTTACCTAATTTTGAAATTTTTATTTATTTATCTGTCTTGACAGGCCACCATTGCTGGTTTGGAAGGATCTGGTGATATTGTGTCTGTTTCCTGCACAGAAAATGAAATCTTCTTCTTGAAGGGAGATAGGAACATCATTAGAATTTCGAGCAGGCCTGAAGGACTAGCGTCAGTAGGTTTGTAATGATTTTAAAGTGTGCCGTGCACCTGAAGGGCAGAGTGGCGCTCTGCAGTTTGGAGTTGGGCTTCTCATGATTTTGCTGGCTCAGCTGTGGCAACTTCAAGCGCATATTTTTGTCGGTAATTCACATAGTCCCAGATTTCAGTGCTGGGGACCGTGTGGCTTACAGGAGAGGCTCGAGGCCACTGCTGTCTAGGACTCCGTGCAGCGAGCACTGCTCCAAGTCTGCCCCACCTCGCAGGTGGGGAGGGTCACTGAGCGCCTGAAGTTTACATTTTGTGTACTTGTAACTAATCTGAGTGTAAATAGCTGCCCATGGCGGATGGCTGCCATCTCAGGCTGTGTGGCTCTAGACCATGAGATTGTGCTGTCTCTAACAAGTCACCCTGAGTAGCTCCCACTCCTTGTGCATAACGAATGACCCTGGGGGACATTGGTGCCTGGCACCCAGCAGATGCCGAGTAACGAGAGCGGCTGGTGCTGAGGGCCGGTCTGAGGCGTGGGTCCCCTGAGGGGGACACTCGCCACTCTGGGTCTTGGGTCAGGTGTAGGGACCTGTGTTCTGCTGCCCGGGCTTTGCTTTGTGTGCATGCTGGCACTGACCTGCAGCTCCTTCTCCATGTGGAGTTCGTTCCATCGGGAGATGACATCCTGCCCTGAACTTCAGGAATCTTGGTTATCAGTGCACATGTATTTTTCAAATGTCCTCTGAGTCAAACTAAGGTACATTCAGGGCATGGTCTAAGTATGATATATAGTTAAATAGTACAGACTTTTTTAAGATGAAGAATTTGTGAGGCTGGGATTTAGCTCAGAGGTGCTGCCACCTGCTGCACAAGTGCCAGGTCCTGAGTTCGATCCCTGGTACACAAAAAAGAAGAATTTGTGAGTTGAAGTAAGAAATGCCACGTACTTGGTGGGTTTCCCTTACTGCTGGCTCAGGAGAAAGTGGCAGTAGTGTAGCGAGCTTCCTTCTAGTACACGAGCTTCCTTTTGAACAGAGCCATGTGCAGTCGCCTGTCATTCTGCATACCCTGGGTGCCTGTGGATGCAGAGCTGCCTGGTTCCTCAGGCCAGAGGCTGGTTCCTAGGCAGCAAACCCTCTCAGGCAGCAGTGTTTACCGGAATCTTCTCTCTCAGCAAGGGATGGCCTGGAGGTGGTGAGACGTCCCGAACATGTCCATGCTCAGTGTCCGGAGAAGCCCCCAGGGGTGGCTGCCTTGGAGACGAAGCTCAGAGGCTCCTCCCTGGCCAGCTCGGCAGCCAGCGAGCCCCGGAGCAGGAGCAGCTCACTCGCCTCCACCGACAGCGGCTCCAGCCTGTTGCCGCCTGAGCCCCCAGCCGCCCCGGAGCCCAGCAAGGGTGGCCAGCCCACCCAACAGAGATTTAGTGCCATCAGCTTGGAGGACTTCGAGCAGGAGCTGGTCGTGAAGCCCATCAGGGTGAAGAGGAGGAGGAGGAAGAAGAAGCCAGGTATGTCTGTCCCTGGGTGGGCACGCATGTCTGCAGGCTCAGGAAAGGCAGCGACGGCCTCCCTGGGGAGCCTCCCCGCAGGATGTTCCATATGCTGGCAGAAAACATGCGTGCACACAAGAGCACACACATGCATACGTGGACAAGGCAGCTGTGGAAGGTGCGAGTGTCCACACCGGGGGCCGGGTTTTGTTTTCACTGTTTAGTTAAGATGTTGGCTTCTCCCTGGGGACCATGTTCTAGGCCCGAGATTCTGCAGCCCGAGGCGGGCCGTGGCCCAGGGGGAGGGAGGTTGGTGCCGGTGTGGCTGGGACATTTCACATTAGCACCAGTCTGTCACCAGTCTTGGGCTTGACATGGACCTCTTAAACCCTGCACCTCTTTTCGTGCCTGTTGGGCCTGTGGCTGAGGTCAGGACAGCATGCCAGGAGCCCGTGACCAGACCCTCTAGCACTTAATGGTGTTGTAAGCCTGGCCTGCTCTCTGCCCCTTCCCTCACCTCATGATCCTTCTGTCCTATGGAACATCTCCAAATCAGGACTGTTATTACTTAAGAGGCTTATTCTTTAATTTAAAGTATTTTTTCCTGGAGGAAAACTTTGTTTCTGGTTGTCTCTGGCTGTTCTGTAGTCGGCTCTCCCTGAGTGTTCTCCTTTTGAATTAGAAGGTAGAAGCAGTGATGCTGGTCCCAGCTCCCTGGAGCTGACTCCCTGCTCTGAGCTCTCTGGTGGCAGCCCAAGGTCTCTGAGCATAGACCAGCTGTCGGTGGCCTCAAGTATCCTGGGCAGCAGTGTGGACCAGCTGAGCACGGAGTCACCCGACCGGGAAACCAGCCTTGGAGGCAGCGAGGTGAATGGTGTCTTGCTGGAAAATAATGATGCTGAAACGTTTAGTGTCCTGGAGGTGCCTGAATCTGTCCCTGATGTACTGGATGAAGACGACGTTGCCACTGAACTTCCACAGTGTCACCTTGCGTGCAAGCTGGCGCCGCTCCCTGGGGTGTTGATGTTGCCCTTGCTCCCAAGGGACGGTGTGGAAGGTGGAAGTGACCAAGGACACAAAGAACATCCTGTTCCTGTGAACACTGAGCCCAGCCCCGGGCGAGTGCTCTGCCCAGGCCAGGCCAGCTCTGTCCAGACCCCCGAAGGGGAGGACGTGGAGGCCAAGGGCCCCCAGAGCCCCTCTCCAGAACCCCCGCTCCTGGACTTGCTCATGGCGACTCCCAGCTCCAGCTGCGCCCCGGCGGCAGCACAGTGGCTGTCAGAGATCTTGACTATAGAGGGCACGGAGCGGGCCAGCAAAGAACAGGATGGCCCCGACCACCTCAGCGCAGACCCCTGGCCTGCTGTCTCTGACAGTGACACAGGGGAGAAGGAAATGGCCACTTCCAAAGGTGACAGGGGTGGCGAGGGGACCCTGGTGACTCCCCTGATGACCTCCTCGGCGGTCAGCACCCACGAGCCTTGGCTCGAGCCGCCTTCCCAGGACCCAGGCTTGACATCCAGCGATGAGGAGGACATCTACGCCCACGGACTGCCGTCTTCCTCCTCAGAGACTAGTGTGACAGAGCTCAGAGCGGGTTGCTCCCTGCAGGACCTGAGCCAGCCAGGGACAGACGACCCCACCCTGCTCAAGTCGGATCAGGTGAGTGGTGGGATGGTCGGGCGGGGTCCATAACAACCAAGGCTCACTGTCCTTTTCTGCCTTCTTTTTTTGGGCAGTACTTGGGGTTGGACTCAGGGGTGCTCTATCATTGAGCGACATCCGCTGCTCTTTTCATTTTTTATTTTGAGACAGGGTCTTGCTAAATTGTGCAGACAGGACTCAAAGTTGTGATCCTCCTGCCTCAGCCTCCCTGAGTTGCTGGGATTATAGGCTTGCCCTGTTGCCTGGCACACTTCTCTTGTTCTTAAAGATTTCTTGGCAAGACCGATTATTTCCCTTTGTATAGAAAGCATTCATACTCCTGTTGCCAACTGGCAGGCCAAAGACCTTCTGAAGTCTGGGTTGGGGGGATTTCCAGAGCAGGCTCCTGAGCTACTGGCCCCACTCAGTGGCCGCTGTGGTGCAAGGCAGCACCTTGCTGTGCGCCCCTGGGCAGGGTACCTGGTGTGGTGGATGGAGATGGTGCCGGGACCTGCGGCTGTGACAGCTGCTGCCCCACCATGACCCTACGGTGGCCAGTCCCCGTGTGTGCCCAGACCGGGGAACAAGGAGGGGTTACTGACTGTGTGGGGACGTTTTATGTTAGAGAATAATTTTCTAAAGGTGCTTGCTCTCTGTAGTATGTTGTTACAGTGAGATGCACTTGGTTTCCAAACTACACCTTTTCTTTCCCCACACGGCTACGGGGTGCCTGGTGCTGACAGCGCAGCCTGTCCGCTTCGCCGTGTGCAGGGATGTGCTGTGCATGTCAGGAGGCCAGCATGCTTCTTCTAAGGCAAAACCGGGGGCCCTTGACCACTTCCCAAGGGGGACAGAGGCACAGCAGGTCCGTGAGTCCACAGGCCCCATGGAGAGTGGAGATCAGAGCAGGCCCAGAGCCTGTTCCACCCATGGGGCCTCCAAAGTCCACCATGCTGCTGCTCACTTGGCAAATGGGCTTCTGGCCCACACTGCTCTTCCCCTGGCTCCCAGCCGCTGCCCAGGCTCTGTCTGTGCCACAGCGCTGAAGGTAGCCATGTAGGCCTGCACTCGGGGCTCGGAGCCAGGTCGAGAGAGCCAGGTCCTTGGCCTGTGGCGCTGAGAGTTGTGCAGGAAGGATGTCAGAGCGTGGCAGGTCACAGGTCTTCCTGGGAGCCAGCAGTGCCGGCCAGCAGGCTCTGAGCAGGGCCAAGTTCGGGATGAGCCTGTGTGGCTCCGCCAGACCCTTTCAGCCAGTTGTTCCCACTGCTGGCTTTTGGGGTGACAGTACCACAAGCACAGCCCTGTCCCCCTCGTCGGGCTCACGCTGCATCCTTGTTCTGTCAGTTTGCAGAGAGCTGGATGGGCTACTCCGGCCCTGGCTACGGCATCCTCAGCCTGGCAGTCTCTGAGAAGTACGTCTGGTGCCTGGACTACAAGGGTGGCCTGTTCTGCAGCGCGCTGCCGGGGGCCGGGCTGCGCTGGCAGAAGTTCGAAGACACTGTCCAGCAGGTGGCGGTGTCGCCTTCAGGTGGGCCTCCAGTCGGGCACTGGGATCTGGGATGGAGCCCAAGGTGCCAGAGTCGCTCCCTTCCACCCCACTTAGGAGGATCACAGCTATTCAGTTAGAGTTTGGAGATTTTATTAATTGTGAGAGCACATGAAGGTATTTCTGTAAACCATATGATAGTTTGAATAGTGAGGGTCTTTAGTGATACTAACGTACTCTGCTTTTCTAAAAATGTACTTCTGTTTGTTGTTGTCTCTGGAGCTGCTGAACTCAGGAGGCCTGGCCTGGGCACATGCGGGGTGCACTCCAGTGGCTCAGCTTCCCTTCTAGAAAGCCTTCAATGAGCTGCGGGCTCTGGGTGACTGATGTATGCCCAGATGCGGAAGGGAACACTCTTCCTGAGCACAGCGTCATTAAGTGCTTCAGGGGTCGCAGCAATACTTCCTGAAACCCCTCCTTTTCTGTCCAAATCTGCATTTGCTCCTTCGGTCTTTATTTTCTTTCCTCGCCCTCCTTCCCTCCATCCCTCCATCCTTCTGTCCGTCTCTGCCTGCCTTCCTTTCTCTTTTAGTTTCTTTTTAATAGTCCTGGGGATCAAACCCAGGCACCCCACCAGCGAGCTATACCCCCAGGCCTCTATTTTTTTTTTCATTAAGTTTATTGGTACAGTTTAGGGATACAATACAGTCACATTCATCACTGGGATCTTGTACCTTTACATGATGTATCTTGGTTCTTATTTTTTTCCCTTCCCCTGCCCTCCCTTCACCTCTCTTATTTATTTATTTATTTATTTATTTATTTATTTATTTATTTATTTATTTATTTTTGGTACCGGGGATTGAACCTTGTGCTTGTGAGGCAGGCGTGGTGCCACCACCTCTCTTATTTTGAGACAAGGTCTCACTAAGTTTTTAAGGTGTTTTTTATAAAAAAAGATTTATTAGGACATTATGATATAGTACATAAAACACTGAACTACTGGACAAGGCATCCTTTCAAATGTGATTCCATTGTACAATTGCATAGCTTCCCCACAAAACCTCATTATCAAGTGGTATTTAAATCCTGCAGTATGAGTACTGTACTCTTCATACAACACACTCAGCTTATTGTAGAGTGTAGAAAGCACTTCTGCCTCTTCTGGCACTCAGACTTTTAATCCTCCTGCCTCAGCCTGTCAGAGTTTTGGGGTCACGGGTGTGTGTCACCATGCCCAGATTGCTTTTCCTTAGTGCTGGCCGCTTTTCTTTTTTCCAGGGTGGCGGGGCAAGTAGACCAGAAGCGTGTGTGTGTGCGTGTGTGTGTGTGTGTGTGTGCATGTGCACGTATGTGTGTGTTTCCATGTGTGTTGGACCTTGAGAACACAGTTCCTTGTGAGGACACAAGCACAGAAGCTGGCGGGATCTGAGTCTGCGCTTGGATCCGTCCTCTCTAACTCCACTGTGAATGGCCCTTAATCACCCTCTTCCCTGTCACTAGTTGGTTCTGCACTATTCTGCTTGCTTTCACTGCTTGCTTGAAAGCTACTTTTCTCACGAGACTGGCTGAGGTAGCAGTCCACCTATTAGCTGGCATCTTGGATTGAGTTTTCCTGTCTTTGCTATCACCTGTGGCTTTGTCCCCCAGCCATTCAGAAGCTGGTGCTCTCCTGGTTGTAGTAAGCACTGTGTGCTCCTGCTGCCCTGGGTGGAGATCTCTGCCTGAGCTCAGTGTCCTGATCAGCTTCCAGGGGCACCAGAGCCCTGTGACATTCAGGGGTGCCCTGGGCACAGCAGCCTGACAGACTGTCTAGGCCGCCCCTGCTCACCCTGGGTCGTCTGCTGCTGCTTCGCCCTCCCATCTGGGCCTGGGCCACACCTACCACCTGCTGTGTCCTCTGACTTCCTTCTTCATCTGTTGGTCAGAATCCCTTTCTGCGTGAAAAACTCCCAGGTGTGTCCCTTTTGTGCATCTCTGCCTTTGGCTGGCCCAGATGTAGCCCTTCCCTTTGGTTCCTGGAAGGAAGCCCTCCCTCAGATGCTCCCTGGGTGCTAGCTGTACAACAGCATGTTGTTTAGACCCTCACTTGTAGCAGGGTGTAGCCTGTAATCTCAGCACTCCGGAAGTTAAGGCAGGAGGATCCTGTGAGTTCAGGCCAGCCTGAATAGCAAGACCTTGTCTCAAAAAACCAAAACAACTCTTCAGACCTTTAATGCCACTGCTCTTCTTGTGCCCCTGCTGTGAGAGTGGGCGATGTGGCAGCCCAGGTGCAGCATACCTCTTCGGACCTCCAGCCTTGGCTCAGTCCTGTGAGGCAGCGATGGGGCTTGGAGGGTGCCGAGGTGAGTGGCACTGACCCCGAACAGCGTGGGTGGTGGCGGAAGCTCAGACCTCTGCCCCCGCTGGCGTGGAAGCAGCAGGTGTGTTTGGAAATCTCTTGCACAGGATGCAGGTCTCTGTACAGCAACTCTGACGCTTGTCCTGCAGTGAGTGAAGGTTTGTTTCCCCAGGAGCCCTGCTCTGGAAGATCGAGCAGAAGTCCAACCGTGCTTTCGCGTGTGGGAAAGTTACCATCAAGGGCAAGCGGCACTGGTATGAAGCACTGCCCCAGGCCGTGTTCGTGTCCCTGAGCGACGACACGGCCTGGATCATCAGGACCAATGGTGACGTGTACCTGCAGACAGGTGAGAAGCACCACACTCACAGGCACTCGCTTCAGAGGCTCGAGATGATTTCAGTAAAACATTTCTAGAATGAGTATGTGGAATTATTAGCAGCTCTCTGCTGCTGATGCAGATTGGGGCTGGACCAAATTTAGAGTAAGAATCCCTAGGACCTTTTAGTAGGGTGCAGAGCAGAACCTCCTTCTCCTCGTGGCTCAGCACTGAACGTCACACACCCTTCAATGTCCAGCGGTGCAGGTGAGGATGACAGAAGGGCCCTCAGAGCCCTTTCCCCAGGTGACTGGGTTTTCTTCAGCTGGGTCAAAGCCCAGCTCCCGGGTACACATTTACATGTGGGTCGGAAAAAATGAGAAGTAATTTGTTCTCGATGGCAGTTAACTTGTCCTGGGAAACTACCCTTAGGGAAACCACCCTTAGGGAAACCTTTAGCTGCTAGAAGTGGCACAGTGGGACTTGTTTATTTAAGAAATAAGCTGTAATGAACGTCCATGTTTGTGTGTATCCGTCCTCGCTGGGAAGGACAGGGCAGGAGTCCTGCCTGGGCTGCCAGGGCCCCAAGGTTTATGTGCCGTGCTCTCTTCCGCCATTCAGTACTGCTGACAGGGCGCATGCTGAGGTCTCTGGTGGCTGCCATTGGGCCTGGCCCTGGAGAGTGAGCATGCCTGCTCCTCTGCCCCTGTGCCCAGCCTGCAATATGCTCAGTGGGCAATGGGCAGCCCGGCCACCTGGTGAACCAAGTGCTGGTCCAGGCTCTTGGGTCCTCCTTGGGTCCTGAGTCTTCCTTAAGTGAAGAGAGCACCCCGAGCCCCTGTACCTCCAGTGCCCAGGACACTGGATGTGCATGTAGGAGAGCGCATGCTGTTGGCCCAGGATAAGGAGCGTCCCCTCCCACTAGGATGAATGGCTTCAGGCGAGCCAGGCCCTCCAAGGCCTGCTATCAGGAGTCTCTGGGGCCCGCCCCAGGATGTGTAATAAGAAGGCCTTCAACTCCAGCTTGGGAGGCTGAGGCAGGGGGATTGCAAGTGTGAATTCAGCCTGGGCAATTTAGTGACCAACAAGACCCTGTCTCAAAATAAAGAAAACATAAAGTAGGGCTGGAATATAGCTCAGTCAGAGGCCCGGGGTTCAGTCCCCAGTGCGTGCTGGTGGGTGTGGTCCTGCAGGTGACTCCCATTAATGGAGAGTGCCCTGGGTGCTCTGTGATACAGCAGAGGCCTCAGGCAGGCTGAGGCTGTGGGACACAGGGTTTGCCAGCCCTCTGCCTTCGGAGTGGCTTTTGAGCTCATTCAGACACATTACTGAGAGGCCAAAGGTGGCAGGAGAAAGAGCCCTGGACAGGGGCCTGGGACCCACAGCCTTGCAGTGTGCCAGCAAGAAGCCAGGAGTTGGCATTCACAGTGGGACCCGACCCTACAAGGGCAGGCGAGGGGAGGCCCCACAGCGGCTGGGTGACTCTGTGCCTGGGCTTCCCTGTCCACCCTCGGAGCCTCAACCCCCAGGACAGCAGGGCATCTGCACTGTGTTCCTTTGGTTTGCGGTGTCTGAGAGCGCCTTAGACAGGCCTCATGGTGAAGCGCAATCTAACCTTTCTGTGTTGACTGAACTGTAAAAAGAAAAGGCGCTCCTTGAGAAAGAACATAACAAATCACACACACACAGCCGGAAGCACTGGTGCCGGAGGGGAGGAGGACGTGACAGTCTCGGCTCCTCCCTTGCCGCAGGCCTCAGCGTGGATCGCCCCTGCGCCCGCGCTGGGAAGGTTGACTGTCCCTACCCGCTGGCCCAGATCGCTGCCCGGAACTGCGTGGTGTGGGCGCTGACAGAGCAGAGGGCCCTGCTGTACCGCGAGGGCGTGAGCAGCTTCTGCCCCGAGGGGGAGCAGTGGACATGTGACATCGTCAGGTATGCGTCCGGCCTGTCTGCTCCTCCTCCCCGTGCAGTCACCTTGACTCTCCTCCAGCCCCAGAGGTCCAAGGGAGAAGAGCGCTCGAGGTGACCCAGCTGACCTGTAGCCGGCCGGGGCCCTGGGGCACCTCTGCCTGCAGCCTGCCCGTGGGGCCCTTGAGCAACCCCAGTGCTTCGGTCACCCTTCTCATAGTGGCCTCCATTCAGAGCACCTGTGCTCAGTCACTGAGTTCCATCCAGGGTCTGAGATGGGTTGGGTGTGGGTACTTTTTGTGTGTTCATCCTACTCAGTTGGAATTGTTATCTGAACTGTAATTTATTAGTTTACTTTCTACCGTTTTAAGATTTAGTCTTTAGGCAGATGGAGTGACACCTGTCAGTAATCCCAGCACTCTGGGAGGTTAAGGCAGGAAGATCATGAGTTTGAGCCCAGCTTTGGCAACTTAGTGAGACCCTGTATCAAAATAAAAAGGGCTGGGAATGTAGCTCAGTGTGAAGGGCCTGGGTTCAATCCCCAGTACAAAGGAAAAAAAGGTCCTTAGAAAAATCAGATCTGGATGATTTTGATCTTGGTTTGAATGTAGCAGTCTTGAGCCTTCAGGGAGACCCGCGCTGGGCTTGGGGACCAGGATGACTGAAACTCAGCCTACTTCACAGACTGCTGGGCTAGGGAGTACCTCCTAACTGGCAGTGCAGGGAGTACAGAGAGTCCTGGGCAAGACATGGAGCATGTGGGGAGGTAGCTGCCCGAGTACTACATGGAGCCTCTAAACTGAGGATGCCTGGACAGGGCAGGAGTAGGGCAAACAGAGGTAGTGTCTCCCTGGGGACAGCTGCCTGGCACAGCCTGGTGTGCGGGGAGTGTGCAGCCACTTCCTTGGGGAAGGAGGCAGTGGAGAGGTGGGCTCACGTGTGGGCCGGGATGCTTTCAGCACCTCCTCCTTTTGTCTTGGAACCGGTCCTCACCTTCCCAGCCTGCACTCAGTCTTTGACAAGCTGCCACACGCCTGGGTCATCTACACTGCCCCGCAGTGTGACTAGACCACGCCTCCTCCTTGGTGTTTGCCAGCCTGGTCCCAAGTGCCGGCCAAGCCTCTCTGGCCAAGTCACCAGCAACACTGGCGGGTGACACTGGGGCTGACTCCATGCTCTCCTGGTTTTTCCAGTGAAAAGCAAGCCCTGGAGCCTGTCTGCATCACTCTCGGGGACCAGCACACCCTCTGGGCGCTGGACATCCGGGGAAAGCTGTGGTTCAGGACCGGCGTGGTGCCCAAGAAGCCGCAAGGAGACGATGACCACTGGTGGCAGGTAGGTGCCGGCCCCCTGCAGAGGCGCTGTCCTCCTTTCTGCCCCTCTGCCTCCTTCAAGGACTGAGTCGATCAGCAGTGCTCATGTCCACTCTGTGCCGGGTTAGACTTTCAGAGTTAAGGCCTTTTCATAGGAAGGAGCTTGCAGAGATTTCTTTGCCTAAACCGTGCCCGTGCAGACTGCCTTTGCATTTCCTGTGGTGGTACTTGGGCTTGTGTCATACAGGCTGGGTACCAGTGCCCTCTGGCGATGATGGTGTTTCCTTCTGAGCAGCCTGCTCTAAAGAGACTGGACAGACTCTAGGTTCGCAAACCCAACCCACAGTAACATCTCCCCATCTCCCTGTGCTTGAGAGGCCTCGCATGAGGGTGTCTCCACAAAGGAGAATTCCCTGTGTGACAGGACCATCCACAGGCTCGTTCTGTGTGGCCTAGTCCTACCCAGTGGCCTGGATGGGTTTTCCAGGAGCATGTGCATTCCTCTCCCCACCAATGTCACCTTAGTGGCTCACCTCCACGGTGGCTTGGGGTTGCTCTGACTACTGTGAGTTTCACGACGTCTTCCGTTTCCTGTCTCTGTAGTCCAGGTTTTTTGTCTCCTCAGGCCTGCCTCTTTGAGGTTTGTCTTCCATTGGTTGTGCTGCATCTGAGAAAATAAGTTGTGTCGATGAACACTTGTATCAAACATAAGTATCTCTGATTGACACGCAGGTATTATCTGGTGAAGTTACACAAGAGACTTTAAAATCCCGTCTGTGTACTTATAACCCCGTATACCCCAAGTTCTGTTTCTGTATCAAGAAGAAACTAGGCACCATTTTGGCATTGTACTTCAGGGAGGTTTAAGTTGACAGCCACCTGAGGAATGTGGAGCAGTTATTTCAGTCCCCTGAGAGTGGTCTCCCTGTAGTGCTGGGGCCAGCATTGGGTTGACTACTAAGCCTCCTCTCTGCCAGCCTGCACATCCGGGTGTGGGGACCGAGTCTGTCACAGAGGTGGCCTGTGGCCTCAGCTGTGTCCGCTACCCGGTTAGATGAGTGACATGTGCAGCACAGTCCTGGGGAAGGACCCAGCTGCCTGAGCTGCCTACCATACAGCAGTGCTGCTGGAGCGCACGCTGGCTCCCAGGCCGAGGAGACCTCAGGAGGACTGCTGTGGTCTGGAGCCTCTGGGCCCTCCTGTGAGTCCTTCCGCAGGCCAGGCAGGCAGTGTCTGTGCATGGAACTACTGACTTCTATGACAGTGGCCTTTCGTTTGCTTGGTCGCTCTGTTGCTCTGTCACTGGAGACCCAGGGCTGTGGGTGTGGCAGTGCCTTTCCTGCCTCGCTGACCGAGAGGCCTCTGCTCATCTGCTCCCTGCAGGTGAGCATCACCGACTACGTGGTGTTTGACCAGTGCAGCTTATTCCAGACCATCATCCATGCCACGCACTCGGTGGCCACAGCGGCCCAAGCGCCCGTGGAGAAGGTGGCGGACAAACTGCGCATGGCATTCTGGTCCCAGCAGCTTCAGTGCCAGCCCAGCCTGCTGGGGGTGAACAGCAGCGGCGTCTGGATCTCCTCAGGCAAGAACGAGTTCCATGTCGCCAAGGGAAGTCTCATAGGTGGGTGAAGGTTTTTGACTTCATCGTGGCTTATGGACAGCTTTGTTTTATTATTTTATTTTAGTTTTAGCAGTGTTCAGGATTAAACCCAGGGCCTCACTCAACATTTAAAGGAGTGCTTTCAAGATCTCGGCTTGAAAAGATCGCATCGTGCTGGTGGGCAGAAGCGCCTGTAGTGGGGACATTCTCTGCTTCGTGATCATTCTCGCTCCCTTTTCCTTTCTAACCTGCCATTCCCGAGGCTTGGGCCTGGCATCTAGAGAATGTATAGTCAGCTTCCTGTGGGAACCAATTATGGTAGAAGAAAAGCAAATGGAGCTTATTTGTCATAATTTTACATATAAGTGCAAAACATCCACCAGGCCCACAGAGCCCAGTGTGAAGAAAGAGTCCCATTTCCTGGAGGGAAAATTATGGCCACTGTAGAACAAGCAAGGCATGGCCAGGTCCGAGAATGAGCTGGGGTTTATTTCTGTGAGGGAACCCTGGTTTCTGAGTTCCCCGGAGCCGCCCCTGCCCTGCACGGTGCACTGCAGACGGTGCCCGCAGCTGCGGGTGACAGGCCGCGCCTACTGAGGGACACCAGCTCTGCTGTGCCAGGCTCCAAAGGCCAGCTGTGGTCCGGAGCGAGACTCTGAAGTGTTACCATTGCTTTCTTCCCTTCACTCACCCTCCCTCGTCATTCTCTCCAGGCACCTACTGGAGTAATGTCGTTCCCCGGGGGACAGCGTCTGCGACAAAATGGGCCTTTGTGCTGGCTTCTGCGGCTCCCACCAAGGAAGGTTGGTCCGTGCTCGCTGTGTAGGGTTGAACATTCAGGCTGCGGACTGCCTGTGGCCTGGTGGGTTTCAGGACACGGCAGTGTAGCCCTCCGCCTGGGGGACATGGTAGCACCCTGGCCAGCTGCCCTGCAGGCTGGGCCACTGCAGTGGGTAGGCGAGGATGGGGTGTGGAGCTGCCCTGAGGCAGGGTGTCCCTGGAGGAAGGGACTGCTAGCCACCGTGACCTCCAGGGGCAACTGCAGGGCCATAGCTTCTTGGGCACCCTCCCACTTGCCCCAGAGAATTCTTATGCTGGCTGCTGGCAGCCTCTGACTCACCTGAGTCCCCACTGTCCCCTGTGCAGAGTCCACAGCCCCTCAGGACAAGGACGGGGCTTTGCAGTCAGAAGAGGCAGTACTGGCACCCCAGTAGCTGGGATGTGGGATGTTAGGTGACCTGGCTGGGAAGAGGCCGGAGCCTCCGCCTAGAACCACACTGCAGGTTAATCTAGGTGATGCTGGGAAGTCTGTGAGGAGAGAAAGCAGCCTGCTTAGCTCAGCTGCCAGTCCCCAGCAATCGGGACATGCCCAGAACAGTGCTCACTTAACCATAGCTCATCTGGACCACAGTTCTGCCAGGAACCTCTGTACTTGGCTGTTTCCTGAGATTCACCCAGGTGCATTTGGAAGTGACACCTGCCTTGCAGTGACGGGAGGCCACGTTCTGTGTGTGACCCACCCTGTGGTGCTGACGGGCAGGGTGCTGCAGGCATCTCACTGCCTCCACTTCGGCAGACTTTCCCCTGAGGGACTCGGCATGCAGAAGCTTAAATCCCAAAGTGCATCTGGCCACAATTTTGAGATAATGTCTTGGATTACATACTGTAACCAGGGTTTGAAGTTCCCAAGGGTTGTTTGCGTTTTAAATGATTCTCCTCCTAGCCCTGAGGATTCTACTAAAGTTGTGAAGGGACGGGAGAGGGGGACTCTGAGGCGAGGATGGGAAGAGCAGGCTCTCTCCGGCAGCCTGCTGCCAGCCCTGGTGCTCAGCCAACGGGGCGCTGTGGTGTGACCTGCCAAGGAGGGGCCGACCCCAGCTTCCCCAGGAACAGAGTAGCGGTCCTTTCCTCTTGGTGAAGTTTAGGGTTCTGCACAAAGACTTCCCTGAGGCCTCTGTGTAAAACTCCCAGCCTGACGTAAGTAGGAGGTTGAGTCACCAAGCCAGCACTGTGGCCTTCACGACGTCTCCCCAGCCCTCTTGCCACTTCTTTCCCTGCCTTGGCTTGGTCGTGGGCCCCCATGTGGGGACTGGCGAGGAGCAGCTGGCGTCTGTGGCCACGCCAGGTGTCTGCCTGAAGCACAGGCTGCTGCAGCTCAGTGCAGGTGGTGCCGTGACAAACAGTGCTCTTCCGCAGGGAGCTCCCTGTGGCTGTGCCAGAGCAGCAAGGACCTGTGCAGCGTCAGCGCCCAGAGCGTGCAGTGCCGGCCATCCACAGTGCAGCTGCCGCCCGACGCCGAGATGTGCGCCTACGCCGCCTGCCAGGATGCGCTGTGGGCCCTGGACAGCCTCGGGCAGGTGTTCATCCGCACGCTGTCCAAGAGCTGCCCCACCGGCATGCACTGGACGAAGCTGGACCTCTCCCAGCTAGGTAGGGCATGGGGTCACACTGCCCTGGGGTGCGTCAGGGTGTCCCTGACAGATGGGCGACTTTCAAGATCATGATGTCAGTGGCTGCATTTCTGGAGCCTGAATGGCCACTCCCAGGCTAAATGCACCTCCTCTTAAAGGAGCTTCCCTTCCCGTGCCATGGGGCCTGCAGGGTTTTCAGGACCCGGGGTATCTGCGGCTGTCCAGGAGTTGCATGAGGGACCCCTAGTGCAGCTGCCTCTGTCCGTCTGAGTGGGACAGAGCCCTGTAACCTTTAAATCTTTAAATCTGAAGACTCGGTAGCCTCAGGACTGGCTCAGCACCTCGTGTCCCCACACCCAGTGTGGGGAGCCGCTCGTGCTGGGACTGTGGGCGCTTGCTCGGCCAGTTCTGTGCTGCTGGTGACTGCTCACCTCTCCATCTCCCCCAGAGCGAGCGCAGGCTTAGCAGTGTGGCGCCATCTGGGAATAATTCATTCATAGTCCAAGAAATGGTACACTCGCCCCACAACATTGGGTAAACCCTCGGTGGATGTGGGGCTCCGGTGTGGTTTGTCTGAAGCCGCAGGCCACAGCAGGCAGCTCCCAGGGCCAGGAGAGCCTTCAACTCGCAGCAGTTCCGTTAGGGTTTCCCATGTGATTCACTGACAGCCAAGCTGGGTGCACACCTATAATGCTAGCACTTAGGAGGCTGAGGTAGGGGGATTGCTGCAAGTTCAAGGATAGGCTGGATATGTAGTGAGTTCAAGGCCAGTCTGGACTGTATAGTGAGACCCTGTCTCAAAAAACCAAAGCAGGCCGGGGATTTAGCTCAGTGGTTTCGCTGCCTGCTGCACAAGCGCAAGGACCCGAGTTCGAGCCCCGGTACCAAAAAAAAAAAAAAAAAACCAAACCAACCCACTGATGACCAGTATTTCATGAGCTTGACTCAGACAACTGTTTAATGTGTGAGAACTCAACCAGATGTGTTCACAGTAAAACGACAGAGTGAGAGGGAGGCCTGGCTGTGCCCCCTACTCCGGCCCCTCCTGTCTTGGTGTCCCTCCACCCGTAACTCAGGCACCACTCGGAGCCCCCGGGCCAGGCTGGCAGTGCTGAGCTGCTTGGCCAGTAGCAGCTTTCTGTGGCTGCTGGGGGAGAGAGGGGCTGGATGGCGCCCCACTGTGCCCTCTACCGTAGACTCAAACCCTGTGCCACAACTGGGGTTTCCTTCTGTGTTGGGCCCCACGCCCATCTTTCGGTCCTCTGGTCGGCCCCCTTCTTGCTTTCCGGGACCATTTCCCCTCTGGCCCCATCCCTGACCATGGCTGACCAAACGACCTGCGGCTGGTGTGGCCAGGACAGCGTTCTACACAAAGAACTAAGTCAAATGCTGCTTTAAAATTAAATGAAAGGAATGCTTCAATTAATTAATAGCTGGCTACTGAACTCAGTTGTAAAGATTGAATATGGAATTCAGCAGTGATTTATTATAATCGTGGTTTTTTTTTAAGAAAATATGCCTCATTTAGCAGATTTTTAAGATGCTCATAACTTTTCATTTCCCAGTGTGTATAAATATGCATTATGTCGGGCATTGGACTGTTTAACAAACTGATGTCATCTGTAGTTTAATTCATCTGATCACAGCATGTAACAAAGAAATATTCAGTGTTAGTTTATGCCTCTAGGTAGCAAATAGGCTTGTATAGTAATTTATGTAGAATGGTGTTTTATAAATAAAGCACCAAGTAAATGCTATTTTTTGTTCTAAAACAGATATTTAAAAAGTAATCATAGAGGGGAAATGTCTGCTTTGTTGAATAAAGTAATTTAAAACCTTTTTTTTTTAACAGTAGAAACAAAAACACCAAGCAAAGGCAGAGAAATGTCAGTGTGCCTATCATTCTGTGAGGTTACACTTTAGTGACAAGCCCAGGACATCGGTGGCCTCCCACAGGACAGTCGCATCATCTTCTAGGGTTTTATGGCTGGGGTCGAGGCCTTGGAAAGGCTTCTGGGGTTGTAGACTCGGTCCTAAGCGCAGCAGTATTCAGAGGTGGCCTCATGATTGCCCAAGGGGGGCTCTGATGTCCTTGGTGGTGGATCCATTGGTAGATTCGTCATTTGATGGCATTATTGGGAGGAGATGGAAACTCAGGCAGTGGGGCATTGCTGGATGGGGCGGGGCACCAGGGTGAGGCTTTGAAGACCACTCCTGTCTCTGGGCCCCTCCTCCCAGGCTCTTGGTGGCCTCTGTGCTTCCTGGCCACCATGAGGTGAGCAGCTATCCTCTTCCACACCCTCCTGCCTCCGCCATGATGCTCCTGCCTTGCCTTGGGCCTGGAAGCCATGGAGCCAGCTGACTGGACTGAAGCCAGGACCAAAATAACCTTTTCTCCTATAAGCGGCTCTTCCCAGATGATGTGTCACAGCCACTGAAACTTGGGGACATGCAGGGTGGGTTCCCCAGGCAACACCTGATTGCACCTGCTCCCCTCTGAGGTGGCGCCACGAGCTTGTGCTGCAGGAGCGAGGAGCTAACAAGGCCCCAAGGTGACAGACATTGCCCCTCATAGCCCGCTGCCAGAGTCACTCACCCCGCTGGATACAGAGGGCCTGGGGCGGGAGCAGGCCATGCTGCATCCCTGTGAGCAGGCTGGTGAAGCATGGGAAGAACTCCTCAAAAGCCCCTGGTGAAGCTTCCTGCCCTTGGCCTTGCTCTTCGGTTCAGAACTGGCGGGGTCACAATGGATGTGTGACCCCCCCAGGTCCTGCTGAGGGGTGGAGCCAGCGTGTCCCTGTCACTGAGTGACCGTTAGCGTGCTTGACGGCTTCCCTGCATCCAGGCAGGATGAAGACTCCGCGTAAAGGTGCCTGTTAGGCACCGTTGTGTCTCAGCTTCTGCTGGAGTTTCCTGCCAAAGGCACTTTGTCTCCGCTGGTACCAGTCTTTGCTTCTGTAGTGCAGACTTCCGGAGGCTGTGTCGGCTCCCAGTAAGACGTCCTGTGCAAGATCGAGGCAGGAGGAGGTGCCGAAAATCTGAGCGTGACAGGAGTCATCATCCTTAGGGACTGGACAAAAGCATCCAGTCTGGCCGTCCCGGCTTGGGGTGGTGGCACACACCTGTAATCCCAGAGCCCTGCTCTTCAGGTATATGCCCTTACCGAACCTGTGTACGTTCTTCACCACACTTGCATACAGTGGGACATGGTGATGCACACCTGTAGTCCCAGCACGAAGAAGCTGAGTCAGGAAGATTGCAAATTTGACCAAAGTCCAGGCAACTTAGTGACTTAGTGAGATCCTGCCTCAAAATAAAAAGGGCTGGGAGTGTAGCTCAGGGAGGGGTCCCTGGGCTCAATCCCCAGTACTGCTAAAGAGGGGAGGGGAGGAAGGAGACAAGGAGGAAGGAAGGACTTGTACCTACATCTTTCCTCTTGTATGCTTTTGTTCCTGGTACTGGAGATTGAGTGAGGGACTGGCTCTCTACCACTGAGCTATACCCCAGCCCTTTTTATTTTGAGGTTGAGGCAGGGTCTTGCTCGGTGTGGCTAAGCTTCCCAGCTGGGCTTACAGTTGCAGTCCTCCTGCCTTGGCCTCCCAGAGTGCTGGGTTCCAGGTGTACACCCCTGCACCTGGCTCACACCACCTTCTGGCTGTGCCCCAAAGTTAAAACGACCCATCAAAACAGTTTCTCATCAAAAAGCAGTTAAGAAAATGAAAATGTTCGGCTGGGGATTTAGCTCAGTGGTTCTGCCGCCTGCCTCGCAAGCACAAGGTCCCGAGTTCGATCCCCAGTACCAAAAAAAAAAAAAAAAGAAAATGAAAATGCAAGCCCCGGATTGGACAGAATGCAGAAAGAATCCCTCCAACTCTTGTCTAATTGGAGGACAGTTCCGTTTTCAAAGTGGCAGAAGAGGTGACCAGATGCCGCATAGAAGATGCGTGCGGGTCCCTCACAGGCAGAGGAAAGCAGTCGCAGCGGCATTTGCTAGTGGAGAAAGAGGCGCTAAAGCTGTGACAAGATGTGACTTCATGCTGCTGGAAAGGCGCCCCCCCCAGGCCCTGCTGCTGTGCACATGGGCCAGCACCCTGAATGTCCACACAGTGCGTGTTCACCAAGAATCCCACAGCAGCTTCACCCCTGAGAGCAGGGAGTGGAAAGAGCTCACAGATGGCGGAGGCACCAAGCGTGGCATGTCCGTGCGGTGGTGTGGGGCTCAGCCACCAGGGGACACTGTACTCCAATCCCGTGTGGGGAACCTTCAGGATGACGGGCCTCCCCTCTGCTGGCGGGAGTCAGTGTCGCATCAGCTCAGGGCAGAGGCCATTGACAGGAGGGGACCAGAGGGAACCAGGATGAGTTGCTCTGGGAGATGTACTCACCAAAGGCAATGGGACGTGAACCCTGACTGGGATTTGCAGTCTGTCAGCCTTGCCCGTCAGAGGAGCCGGGCTGACCCAGGCTCAAACCTGATGTCCAGACTGTGCCTCCAGGCTGGGCCCCTGCCAAGCCGCTCCAGGGCTGGGCCTGGTGGCCACTGTGTAAACCAGACACAATGATAATGATGATAATGATAACCCTGCCGGCGCCACTGCTGCAGGGTGTAAAGGAGGGTGTGGAAGGGAGTTGCTGAGAGCTTGTCCTCCTGAGGAGCCATCAGCTGTGGTGCTTTTGCGAGGCAGGCTATTACCAAATGCAATTTCTTTTCCTTTCTTTTTGTTTGAGGCAGGGCTTGCTGGGCATGGGACCTCGGCTCTGTGCACCTCCCAGATAGCTAGCACTGAGCTACTCACCAGCCTTTAATTTCTCTTCTTTGAAGTCTCTTCCTGTATCTTTTCATCTTAGGATTAATTAACAAAAATATAAAGTGATCTTAGTTCATCTTAATTTTCATCGGGCCCAAGATCATCAGTACAGGGAGTCCTGCCCCAAGTCCACACCTGACCAGGAGCAGTGGCCTGTCAGGCAGAGCCAATGTGGGGCCCGGGCTGAGACATGCATCCCACCTCATGCTCCGGGCACGGGTGACTACTCTGCCCACAGCATAGGAGGCACCAGGTGGCGCCAGGGAGGTGGCAGAGCAGCTAGAGACCTTCACGACTCCCTGCCTGCGTGCTCTCACCCCTGGCCAGGTGCACACCCACCACAGATGGACTACTGCTCGTCAGCAGCACTGCCAGGGTCAGTGGCCAGCACAGCCTCCCCTAAGTTCAAATTAAACTTCAAGAATGTAGTTACAGTGTAGGTTCCTTTCCTGCATTTGTCTGTAGGAGCCGTAAAGCTGACCAGCTTGGCGTGTGGGAACCAGCACATCTGGGCCTGTGATTCCAGGGGCGGAGTTTACTTCCGGGTCGGGACCCAGCCTCTGAATCCCAGCCTGATGCTCCCAGCCTGGATCACCATCGAGCCGCCCGTCCAGGTAGGTGACGTTCCCCAGAGGTACAGCAGGAGCTTCGAGGGTGTGGATGCTGGGCAGAGGCCCGCGGCCACCCCTCAGGCCCCAGCACAGGGCCACTCGCAGGGCCGGAATCTGAACCAATTGTTAAGGATCGTTGGAGTAAACGCTTGAGTTTCTCCATCTGAAAGTAAAAATATTTACATATGACTTTTTTCAAAATGAACCTTATTTTTTTCCAAATCAAACAATACCAGGTGGGTATGATGGCACTTGTCCATAATCCCAAAATGCCGGGAGGCTGAGGCAGGAGGCTCAGGAGTTTGAGGGCAGCCTAGGTTCTATAGGAACTCAAAAAATAATTTGAAAAAGAAAAATCAAAGAACATTCAAAGGTGTGAAGAAGGCACAAGTGAGCTAAAATGTGGCAGACGTGTGTCTTGTCAGTGTCCCATGAGCGCCTCTCTAGGCGTCAGAGTGTCTGCTTCCTCCGAGCTGCTGCTCACCTCTGCACTGCCCCTGCTGGATTTCCGTCCACAGATCTCAAGCAGAGGTCTGGTTTCTGCACGGTTCAGATGCCTCTGCAGGGCCAGGGATGTAGCTCAGTGGTGCTGCCGCCTGCCGCAAGTGCAAGGTCCTGAGGTGGATCCCCGTACCAAAAAAGGAAAAAGAGGTAGAGTTTACTTAAACAAACAAACAGATGCCTCTGGAGACCTGTGGGTGTGGCTCCTAGGCTTGCGTGTCCCACTGGAGTCTGTGACCGGGGCTGTGGCTTCGTGAGAGCCTTCTGCTCACACTCCTGCTACTCCCCAGCTGTGACTATTGGAGAAGCTGTGCAACTGCCACGTGTGGAGGTGGCAGTGGCAGTGTGAGGTCCCCCTGCAGGGGAGCAGGAAGGCGACCTAGAGCGGGGTAAATGCCTGTGCTCCCAACTGTCCATTTGGGGGGTGAGGACGAGGCCGCAGAGGTGGAGGGACACGAGGTGCATCTGTGCACCTATGGTGACACCATCAGGCATGTGACACATATGCGCAGTCCCAGCTACTCTGAGGCTGAGCCAGGAGGATCTCTTAAGCCCAGGAGTTGGAAGCCAGCCTAGGCAACATAGCCAGACCCTGTTTCAAAAAACAAATAAAAAATCTGGCCTAAGTGCCAAGGAAGCCATGCACCAGTGGGTGTGGCCACAGCTGGGGCCTCCTCTTCGAGTTACAGGAGGGCGAGCACAGCGCTCTGTGGATTATGAAGCACTGTCCCTGTGGTCATGTGTCAGGAACTGCGACCCACACACGTGGCAGTGTGTCACCAGGCATGAGAGGGTCACCGACCTTGTCAGCAGCAGTTGTGCAGTGACAGTGAAAGCAAGCTAGCACACGGATGACCCTCTACCGGCCCCAGAGCCCTCCTGAGGAAGGAAGGAGGGATAAGTAAGTGCCTCGCCACGTGGTCCAGGGAGCCCACGTGCCCAGTGTGAACGAGTCCCTGGGTTCAGTCCCCAGCTGTGTGATAGACTCCACTGCCTGGGGTTGGAACAGTTTCATCACACAGAAGAGAGACCCTGCCCTGAGGGCATCACAGCCCTGCATGGCCCTGACCTAGTTTCTGTTCATGGATTTCCTATTGCACACTTCCTATAAACGAAGTCCCACAATATGTGACCTTCTTTATCTGGCACCTTTCTGAGCACTGTGTATTCAGAGTTTCGTCCATGCTGTGGCACCTACATATCCACTCCTCGTTGCTCTAACAAGGAATGTTCCTGATAACGCTACATGGACATTTATTCATTTAGCAGCTGATGCACAGGTGGCTTTTTTCTGTGTTCAGGACACTTCGCAATCTGCTGTGAGCATTTGTGGACAAGTGCTTGGGAGGACGTGTTTTCCATTCGGTTAGGCTGATGCCTACAAGCAGAATTGCAGGCACTGTTGCCTAATCCAGTGTCATAAAGACGTATACGTGTGTTTTTAGGAGTTTTATAGTTTTGATTCTTCCATTTAGATATTTTATGCATTTTGAGTTAATGTTGTTTATGCTATGAGGTAGGTGCCCAGATTCATTCTTTACTCATGGGTATCAGTTGTACTGATGTTGTTTATTGAAAAGACTGTTCCCTCCCCATTAAATTATCCTGACACTTTTGTCAGCATCTGTTGATCATAGGCAGAGGGCTTTGTCCCTGCACACTTAGCTCTGCCCCGTGACCTGTATGCACTGTCTTGCATGCTCAGCCTTGTTATAATTTTGAAATCTGGAAATCAGAGTTCAACTTTTTCAAGATTGTTTCGACTACTCATAGTCCCTCCTATAACCATGTGAATTTTCAACTATTTGTTAATTTCTGAAGAAAAAGAAAAAGCCAACTGGAATTTCAGCAGGAAAAGCCCTGACCACAGATGGGAAAAGTGTTGGCGTCTAACCGGGACCGGCCCTTGCAGTCTGTGAGCTGCCTTTCCATTTATTTACATCTTTAATTTCCCTCAGCAGTGTTTCACAGTTTTCAAAATATATGTTTTACACTTTGGTTAAAGTGACTCCTAAGGTATTTTTTGGGATGCTAACATGGAATAATATGGAATTGTTACTTTCAGATTGTCCATTGACAGTATAGATTTTGGTTTTTATTTATTTTTTTAGGTTTGTTTTTTTGTTTTGGTTTGGAGCTGTTGGTTTGTTTTTGAGCCAGGGTCTCACTACGTAGTCCGTAGTCCAGGCAGGCTGGCCTTGAACTTGTGATCCTCCTGCCTCAGCTTCCCAAGTGCTGGGATTATGGGTGTGCGCGCACACACACACACACACACACGCACGCGCACACACACACACACACACACCCCGCACCTGGCTGATTTTTGTATGTTGATCCTGTGTCTTGCAACCTTACAAAACTTGTTTATTTATTTATTTATTTATTTATTTTGGACTGAGCTGCTGCTCATAGAACAAAAGTAGCAGCAGGTTTTTATTGATGTGCCGAGGCGGGGGAGAGTTCAGTAATTTCCGTTAGCCAAAGGCAGGGTTCCAAAAGATGTCTCTTCCCACAATGGACTTGGACCACTGGGTGACCAAGGGGTTGAGTTTTCTCGTATCTGGTGTCGCCGCCCTTCGTGAACCATCCCAACCCTGCACACAGTGGGCGGATGCAATGGGCGGATGCACGGCAGGTTCTCATAGGGCTGCGGAGCAGCTCTGTACTGCATAGACGCCTGCCTCACCATGGGGCTGAAAGACTAAGGTTTAACCCTTAGAGAGCTCTGGAAGGGACATTACAGCATCCTCTCCTGTGTGGGGTTGAGAAATGCTGGGCCAGTGTCTCTAAGGACACTGAGATCTGTCTGTGTACAGGAGAGAGACTCTGAAGGCTGTGTAGAGGGGCCCGAGCCTTCATTGACCAACCTGAGTTACAGCCAGCTCTCGGAACGAATTGAGTTTGTAGGTCAGGGGTCCATTGTACATTTCTTAGGATTTTCCATATACAAAATCACATCTGCACATGGACATCATTTTACTTCTTTTTTGTTTTTTGAGACAAGGTTTTGCTCTGTAGTTCAGGCTGGCCTTGAACTGACTGTAACCCAGGCTGGTCTCGAACATGTGGCAGTCCTCTTGCCTCAGCCTTCCAAGTGCTAGATCACAGGTGTATCACCACACCCGGCTAGGATTGCTTTATCTGGGTCTGTGGAGATGACCTGTGGTCTTCCTTCGTCAGCATGCACTATGTTGATTTTTAATGTTGAACCACATCTCTGGATGGCAGGTTCTGTTTGCTAGTGTCGCTGAGGGTTTTGTGTCCATGCTCATGAGGAATCTTGGTCTTTGGTTTTCTTTTCTTGTCAAGGTAATGGTGGGTGCTTGAAGTGCCTGCCACGTGCTCCCTCTTCTGCTCTGGGGGAGAGTTTGTGAAGAGTTTGTAGGGTTCACAGTGTGGGCTTGTGGGCCTGGGGTTTTGGGGGAACTTCTCCTTTCTTACATTTTAACAATTCAGTATCCGGAATTGTTCTGGGTCTATTCAGAATTTTTGGTTTCTTCCTGACTCAATTTGAGCAGTTTCTGTGTTTTTAGGAATGATTCATTCCCCCCAAGCTACCTAATTTATTGGCATCCAGTTTATAATATTCTCATAAGCTTTTTTATTTCTGTAAGGTTGGTAGTTAAGTCCGCTCTTATTTCTGACTTTAATCAATCATTGTCTTCTCTCTTTTTCTAAGTACAGCCAAAGATTTGTCAGTTTTGTTGATCTTCTCCAAAGCCATCTTTTGGGTTTGTTGATTTTCTCTGTGGTTCTCCTATATTTCATCTATATCCAGTTTTCTTTTTTTAGTGGTACCATGCATCAGATTCAGAGTGCTCTATCCCTAAGCTACATCCCTACCTGTTTGTTTGTTTGTTTGTTTGTTTTTGGTACCAAGGATCAAACTTGGAACCTTTTGCTTGTGAGGCAGGCGGCTTGCCTCGGAACCATTGAGCTAAATCCCCAGCCCTATTTTTGTTTTTTTGAGACAGGGTATCAGTTGCCCAGGCAGGACTTGAATTTGCGATTCTCCTGCCTCTGCCTCCTGAGTAGCTGGGATAACAGCCCTGTGCCACTGTGCCTGGCTCCCAGTCTAGTACTCCCCGCACACATTCTGGTTCCCGGGGGTTTGCAGAAGGGTGAAATTACTCTGAGAGCTCCTTGAAGTGTTTGTGCTATCCGTGTCCATGGGAGACCTGTGGTACCGCTGGACTGGCCCGAGGCCAGGCCAGGATGAGTGAAGTGCTGATTGAAGCTGTGTTGTGCCAGAGAACAAACACTGCCGGAGCTGCCAGGGTGTGGGCACAAGGCGGGCGGGTGCTGCCTGGCCATGCGGGTACAGCAAGCACGGCCTCCACCCCACAGTCCCATTGCTGTCCCCAGTGAGATCCTAGCATAAGCTTGAGGCAGGAGCGGTGAGGGGGAGGCAGGCTTTGCCTAGAATCTCCTCTCCCTACAGTCACCAACAGCTTTGCCCAGGAAAGTGGCCAGAGTCGGACAAATTCACAGGAAAGGACCTC